AAACTACAAATTACGACCCAGTTGTGTATGTTCACACATTAGATATGTACATATATACATATGCGCATGTTTTGAATGTGCGCATATATTAATTTTATTAGAAAGGAAATGAGATTTTTATAGATGTTACTTCCAAAAAGAATTGCTAGGTACATAAATAATGCTGAGCTTGCATTGTTATGCTCAGCTATTTCTTAGGTATGTTTTTGAAAAAAATAAATTTGTATGTAAGTATGCTTAGATGTATGTAGTTATTTTTTAGAAACCTCTTAAAGATGTATTCCAATTCTTGACAGTTCTAAATTAAGCTTACAATTTTGCTATAATTTATTTGTATAATCTAGTCAAAACGGATGACGTGAATGTGCAAAGTGTGATGTGAGGCCACTACAGTTTTAAAATATTTGTATACATATATTTAAATATTTTTTTTAACTTACCCGCATAGACTTTCCCAGAACGTTTGCTACAGATTTGGCAACTCCTCAAGTTTGATGTTGGTCTCTACCCACATTTTGCACTTGAGACAACTTAAGAATTAAAGAATTTAAGCAAACATAAATTGCTGACGTATTTATCAGATTTTTTCTTAATTTTTTATTTTTATTTTTTTTATTGCGTAATACTTTAAGCTATTACGTATTATAAAAGCTTACAAACAGCTAACAATTCTGATTCAATTTCAACTCAACAATAAGTAGAAAATAAGCAAACAAAAAAATCAAATATCTTTGCAATTTTCTAAAATTTTTGTTTTCTATTTTTGCTCATTGATTTCTTTTAATACATTTATTTACCTCCTTTTACTTTGATAAGCTGTTCCTATACCTTATTTATTTTGAACAATGTGGAATTATTTGCACATTAAGCTGATTGAAAATATCACTTACATTAGGGCGGGTCGATTTGTATGGGAGATTTTTTTTTAGACTATGCGCGTACAGCGCAGAAGGATTGTACGTGTAGGTCTAAAATCAATTTGAAGTTTGCCAAATTGCGAAAATATGTTTACTGTAGTGTCGTAAAGAAGCGCTTAAATTTTTGTGTAAAAAAATCCTATTTTGTGGTATCTTATCTTATGTTTTCACTTAAAAATTCCACCAGAGGGCGCAACAGTGAAAATGTGCACATTTTCTGCGAAACCTATTTCCACAATTTGGCGAACTCCAAATTGATTTTAGAGCCATGATTTCTTCGACAAATTTGCTAAGACTTACACTTAGAATCCTTCTATGTTAAGAGCGCATAGTCAAAAATGCACCCGCCCTAATGTTCATACATATGTTCATATATATTTTATTTATTTTTACTCGGGCATTGCGGCTTTCAGAAAAGCTGTAACTGTGCCAGGAAACATGTGTAAATATGTACATACATATGTATGTATAGTATGTGTTTGCACTGTGTTAGTAGTAGGCTACTCAATTGTATTAACTTTACTTTCTAGCAACACAATTTGTACTGTATGTCCATATTTCTCTAGGCATGTTAGTATATGTACTTGGCAAGCGAGCAATGAAAAAATTTTCATTTCGTTCAAAAAAAGGCACAGAAGGAATTTCATATCTGAAATGAAAGATAAATAGATAAACTAGTGTTCAGTAAGATTAGGCTAATGATCCTGTTATTAGCATATCCTGAATAAAAACTTCCTGGCTGTATTGTCAACAATGTGGAAACTGCTACTCTAAATAATCCACTGACTCCTTCTTTCAAACGGAAGTCCTTGCAATACTAAGAGTTGCAGACCAGCTAATTGACGAAAGGTAACAGCCAGCTGCTCTAAGGGCCTTGGAAAGCGTTTGCGTTTATTCAAAAATAGTCGAGGGATGCAAATTTAGGCTAAACTCCGTTACAAGATGGAATGATCTTGATCTAGTATGCGTGCCGAGACTCTCATGAGTTGGTGAACTGCGGTTCTCTGGAGCCTGCAATTGGACCGGTGCCAAATTTAAGGTCAATAATAGCGGAAACAGCCAAGTGGATGAAGGAGCTCATTAATAAAGCTGGTGCATAAAAGCCTTTGGAGGAGTACTGACACCTAGATAACAACGAAATGTTTCCTGAAAAGGCCTGACAAAGTGGTAGCAGAATTCCTTCTGAATGAAAACTTATATGTTTGGGTTTTCTATCTTTAAATTACCACAGGAATGAATTAAATATTACCAATTATTCTTCCGTTAGGAATTTTAAAGAAATTTTGTATTCCTAATGTGGTACAACCGGGTCACGATAATGCTAAGGATTTCATACCACAAAACCTAATGTTTTTGTACTCCAAACGTGCTGCATATCAGGGACAGTACGTCCAATTTATCGGACTCTCAAAGCATCTGCCTAAAAGAGAAAGTAAACGGAGACTGCCCTTCACAAAGTGGTTCACACGCTGGCCTTACTACAAACAATTTACTATGGCTTCCTTTATTGATTTTGAAGGTGCCTTTAATAAGGTCAGTATCGATTATATAGGACATTCTAAAGAAAATGTGTAGATTCTCGGGCCGTAAACTGTAGAAAACTTACCCGATGCTATTTACAAATAAGACAATATTAACTGATTGTAGTAAACTTAAATTCCGCGGTACATCGGGTTATATATCTTGAATTTTTATTGGATCCCAAACTTAATTGAAGGTTAAGAATTGAGAAGCGAGCAAGGAAAGCCTCGGTGCCCCTCTATACAATCAAAAGAATGTGCACGGCTATAGTCCGACTCATACTTTTTTAAAGAACTCTGGTGTGGTGGCCAACTTTAGCTAATGATTAAGTACTACTTAAAAACCTTTACAGAATTCAGAGGTCAGTGTGTTAATTCAACGGGTACAATGAGATACTGACCAACGGGGTGTGCATAGCTCAGTGGTTAGCGCTTCTGACTTTGCACATCGATGACGCGGGTTCGATCCCTGCTGAAGTCTAGAAAAAGAAGGCTGATGAGAAAATGTGTTGACCTCCGAAATAGCAGCTATAACCTCTACTGCTTAGGCTTTGTTTTTTTTTCATTTTTCCTAACAAAAAAAAATCGTGGTACTCAGCTGCTAACAGCGTAATCAGATTACCGGCTTTAGGTTACTGGAAAGAAAGTCCACTCTTTGCGACAGGGTTTATGTATGCTGAGTTTCGGGACTAATTTCCGTCGTCCCTTGATACATTTGGTTTTAAAGACAAAGCGGGTTCGGCGTTGTGCCATCTGAAGTGTCGTTTTCGTTCTCTTGTTTTTACTGACGAATCAAAAATGGTAGGTAGTGGAGATTTTCATTGACTGCACATAATTGTTCGACCTAGGCCAGATAAAGACTAATACATCTCAATTAATCCACAGTTGTAGTCTCCTAGAAGTATTTAGAATCTCACAAATTAAAAACTTTTTCCCTTTCCTTTTTCTAGTTTGGAATTCTTCCAGCATTGGATAGATGATGGGGAACCGAATGTCTATTGGCTATCTGGATTTTATTTCACACAGTCCTTCATAACTGGCGTACTGCAAAACTATTCGCGAAAGAATACGCTCCAAATCGATATGGTTGAAATCAAATTTGAAGTAACCGAATATGAAATGGAGGTGCCTAGTAAGCCAAGCTTTGGCGCATACATACGGGTAAGTAAAACCTGTAACTTTATTTTTTTATTTACATAATTTAACGATTGTTATTTAAAAATCATAACATATCTACATATACTATATACTCATTACACATGCTACCACATAAATTTGCATCTATACATATAAAACAGGAACAGCAGTCCATCAATGATGAGACAAAATTTTTTCATGTAAGATATTGCAAAATACAAATTATACGCTTTTATTATAAACCAAAAAAAATCACTAAAAATTATGCTAAATAAAGAACAATCAACGATGCAAATCAAATTATTTTAAATTCTCATCATCTCTTCTAACTAGGGCCTCTTCCTGGAAGGCGCGCGCTATAATCGTGAAACACAAGAACTAGATGAATCCTACTCAAAGATATTATTCGACATGTTGCCAGTTATATTCTTCCGTCCAACACTAAAAGAGACTGCGCAAGCGGCGAAGGAGGATTCCAAAGTGCGCGTCATCTACGATTGTCCTGTTTACAAGACTAGCGAAAGGCGTGGCGTTCTCTCGACAACCGGTCACTCCACCAATTTCGTGATGTATATGCAACTCAATTGCAGTCGCACACAAATGCATTGGATAAATCGCGGCACGGCATCACTTTGCCAACTTGATGATTGAAATTAATTTTGCATTCAGATGTATTTTTATAGCCTTATACGTCAACTTATATACTTTTTCCAAAAATTTTTAATAAAATTTGCCAATTCTTAATTTAAAAAAATACAAATTTTTTCAAGTACAAACATTTGGCGACCGATTATATTTGTGCCGAAAAGTCAATAATAGATTTTTGTTCACAAAATATTTTATTATGCATTTATGAATTAAACACGAAGAGTAGAGCTTTTCTGCCGTTCTGGCCTCCGCACCGCACGTCGACATGCAGACATATTTGCATGCGTTACTAGCACCTCCTAATAGCGCAGAGCTTGCGAGCTCCAAACGCTTCGAAAACAGATACCGCTGGTCGCAGAAAGACGTTCAAATTGGTCACCCTGCTCAGCAGGCCATACCAGTTAGGAAACTAGCCAGTCTTCGAATTAAGCTGCCTTTAGATTAGACAATTTTTTGACAGACGATAATCGTCAAGCTATTTGACTTTACTTAGTTCTAACGTTATTTCCTAGATTCAGGGTCGTTTCTGAAGTAGCTTTTAAAATTTATTTATATTTCAAAAAAATTTTTGAGAGCAAAATTGGCCTTTAATAAAATTTAAAGCTATTGAGAAAACGGCCCCCAGAGACATATTGGGCTTAGTGGAATGTGGCCAGTTGTCGGTCTTAGAAAGGAATCTGAACATAATTAGCATTAGGGCTGGCAGTTCTATCCGGATTTTTGACTATTCGAATAGTCCGGATATTCGAAGATCGGATTAAAAATTCCGAATATCCGAATGAACGGATATTAACCGCATATCCGGATAAAAAAATGAACGGAATTTAACGGGATATCCGGATTTTCGAATCTCTGAATTGACAATAAAATGTATTATATTTTGCTGTTATTTTTTCCAACTCGGTAGATTCTGTAATTTTGCGCACAATTTAATTATAATGATATTTGGATAACCAAATGAACGGATATTAACAGGATTTCCGGAAATTAGAATAACGAAATGAACGCATATTAACCGAATATCTGAATTTTACCTGTATACGCGAATAACCGAACGGATATGCGAATATTCCCAGCCCAATATATGATGTAACTCAACTTTAACAAAAATATTCAGCAGGAAATCCCTTCTAGAGAAGAACGTGCAAGAAGAAAGAACTTGCAGAGAGCTTTGGCTCCATTACCGCCATTATTTCAAAATTGTACGAGGGTGTAGAGCAGAGGTGGGCAGCTTCGACAGAGAATTTTGTAGTGCGCGTGCGAACAAGTCGTGCGGTTGAATTAAGCTTTCGCTGCCTTCTAAAGCAGAGCGTGTATTTATACGCGAATATGCCCGCCGTTCAGGCGCCGCCCAGGGCTGGTGTAGTGTCAGGGGTTTCTCTCTCTTTAATATTGTCAGGGACTGAAAAACGGTGTTGAGCTCGTCAGAAGTTAAAAGACATCTCATATGTTTGGGTAAGCAATAGGAAAGTAAAAAGTAGTATGGTCGGTCGTCTACTAAAACCAACCACTTTAGTCAATCCATCCGTCAGACAATTATGGAAAAAAAATTATGTGTCCAAGTTCACTGCCCATAGCGTGTCATTGAAAACAATCACGCTCGGATTACAGCACTGATAACAATCTACATACTACTTGTATCGAAAACAGAAAACCCCTCGAACATGGACGATTCATTTTGTGTCAAAACTTAAGGCACTGACTTTATACTTTTGCTCAGATGCAAAAATGTGTATCAAAAATATATACAGGTCTCGAATTGTTCAACTTAATGCTATTAGCGGAATGCGCACAGTTAATTTACCGCCTGCGGGATTTCTAACTTCCGGTAGAATTCCAAGGAAACATACCCCATTTATTTTATTTTTTTTTTACAAAATTTCTGTCTCAAAAAAGTAATATGTTTCTATAGTGGTTAAATGCTAAACAGTTGATCCATAGCATTAGCTGAATGACTGACTTGAATGGTGTTAAAGGCATTTACGGCGCCAAGCGTTCAATTGTTAAGCATATTTATGTAAAATTGTATACTTGAGTGGAAGCGAATAGCCGAAGATGTAGTATAAAGGAAATAATATTACGTATAATACAATTGATGATTTTTGCAAACAAACAAATAAATAAAAAGTAACAATAGATATTAAAATAAACTCTAAATCCGTTTTGGACAATGACCGTCAGCGCATAGAAAATGTGAAATACGCAAAAATTTGAAGAACGCCAGCCACTTGAAGACAATTGAAATAATGTTCGATTTGAACTTGAAATATGCTCTGAAGCATCTTGTTCGTCGTTTGGCTATTGGAGCAAGTTTTCGGCACAGCAAATGCTTCAACAAAAAAAAAA